CACGGCGGGTGCTGGTCAAGTGTTAACCAATGAGAGTAACTCACTCACACACACACCGCCGCGGCCCCGCCAAACAACAACATTGAAAGTCAATAACGCAGGCGACGCAGCAGGTTATGGAAAATGGAGGAAACTGAAACTACAGCTAAGAAAAGAAGAAGATGCACATACAACAAAGACTGGGAAGACATTTACCCGTGGGCGAGTGGGTGTCCCACATTGTCCCACACAAACATACTCCTTGTCCCACATTTGGTTTGTTGGGACCTGGTCACCCTACTGGTGGTTAAAAGCTAATGCTACTATGCTACATTGAGCAAGAGTTTGTTATTCTCCATAACTATTCGATTGATGTTCATTTGACTTATCAATGTTATTATTTTGATAACATTTTCATCACATTATCAATGTTTTAATGTTAAAAGAACAGAGACCACTCTCCAATAATATAGCTAGATATGCTGGAGAGTGTAAGTGCTGTCGGACAGATGGGGACACCCCCAGACTCCTTTTTCTTTAAGAAAAGGCCGTCTCCACAGCGACTGAAGACAAAAAAAGAGGCCCTGCATGGCACACACAGGGCTGGTTAGCGAGAGAGAGAGAGAGAGAGAGAGAGAGAGAGAGAGAGAGAGAGAGAGAGAGAGAGAGAGAGAGAGAGAGAGAGAGAGAGAGAGAGAGAGAGAGAGAGAGAGAGGGGGGGGCAGTGAATGAGTGTACAGACACGGGGGAGGAGAGAGGGAGAAAGTGAACTCACTCTGCAGGAGGAGCAGATCCACGGAGAGAGAATCGGCTGCTGATCTGCAGAAAATACTCAATTACCTTTTACAAAACCTCCAGATGAACGTGCAGATTAGGTGAATGAGGAGAGGTGGAAAATAAATGTGGAAACAGTGACGCTCTTACTGCTGAGGTAAGTCTGTTTTTCACTTTTAGAGTCAGACGTTGTTTTGCACGCACATTGAACACAGACGAACATCCAGAAGTCGGTCTAACGGAGTGTTTCTGTAGCTCTCTGCAGTAAAGCTGGTGTGGGAGGACAAAGAGATGAGGTCAGACGTTCTGCAGACTTTAACTCTGACAGGCGCTTCAGATATGTCAGCTGGAGACCAAACATGTCCGAGCGACCAAAGGAAAACACACGGGTGAATGCACCAGTGTTGGGAGAAGTAACAGTGGCAAAACCATATTGTAGAAACACTTAAAATCAATAAAGGTACGCAGAATGGCCCGTTTCATGTTTCACATTTTGTACAATTCATCTGGGCAAAAATAAATGTAGTTAAGTGGAGTTAAAAGTACAATATTTGCCTCTGAATTGCAGTGTAATGGGATTATAAAGTGCATGATATTCAAAGCACTTTTGATTAAATGTACTTCCAGCACATCTAGCTATATGCATGGTCTTTTGAGGAATTATTAGAAAGCCCTTTCTGCAATTAAACTGAGCTGAAAATGTGTGAAAGTGTGCACAGTTTTTCTGCACTACATAGGAAACGTGGTTCTTCCTGTAAGAGCTGCAGACTTTAAATCAGAACATTGAGACAGACAGAACCACAAGAACCACACACACTGCTGTCGCACACACTACTGCTACACACACTGCTGTCACACACACTGCTGTCATACACACTACTGCTACACACACTACTGCCACACACACTACTGTCACACACACTACTGCTACACACACTACTGCCACACACACTACTGCCACACACACTGCTGCCACACACACGACTGCCACACACACTGCTGTCACACACACTACTGCTACACACACTGCTGCTACACACACTACTGCCACACACACTGCTGCCACACACACTACTGCTACACACACTGCTGTCACACACACTACTGCTACACACAGTGCTGTCACACACACTGCTGTCACACACACTACTGCTACACACACTGCTGCTACACACACTACTGCCACACACACTGCTGCCACACACACTACTGCTACACACACTGCTGTCACACACACTACTGCTACACACAGTGCTGTCACACACACTACTGTCACACACACTGCTGTCACACACACTACTGTCACACACACTACTGCTACACACACTGCTATCACACACACTACTGCTACACACACTGCTGTCACACACACTACTGTCACACACACTGCTGCCACACACACTACTGCCACACACACTGCTGTCACACACACTGCTGTCACACACACTACTGCCACACACACTGCTGTCACACACACTGCTGTCACACACACTACTGCCACACACACTACTGCCACACACACTACTGCTACACACACTGCTATCACACACACTACTGCTACACACACTGCTGTCACACACACTACTGTCACACACACTACTGCCACACACACTACTGCCACGCACACTGCTGTCACACACACTGCTGTCACACACACTACTGCCACACACACTGCTGTCACACACACTGCTGTCACACACACTGCTGCCACACACACTACTGTCACACACACTGCTGTCACACACACTGACGTCACACACACTGCTGTCACACACACTGCTGTCACACACACTGCTGTCACACACACTGCTGCCACACACACTACTGCCACACACACTGCTGTCACACACACTGACGTCACACACACTGCTGTCACACACACTGCTGTCACACACACTGCTGCCACACATACTGACGTCACACACACCTGAACAAAAACACCAGACCTGTCAGATCTAAAATATCTTTGATGTTCCCTTTAATGAGAGTACCTGACTGCACGGCATTACCTGCATCTGCTTGTGTATATAGTATAGTGTTGTACTACATTATAGTAGTATGGTGTAGTAGCCTATGGTATGATAACATTGAATTAACCCTATAAATAATAACAAAATAATGAGAAAAGTTCATACAAAATAAATAATAATAAGTACAAAATATAATATAATATTGTGTGTGTGTGTGTGTGTGTGTGTGTGTGTGTGTGTGTGTGTGTGTGTGTGTGTGTGTGTGTGTGTGTGTGTGTGTGTGTGTGTGTGTGTGTGTGTGTGTGTGTGTGTGTGTGTGTGTGTGTGTGTGTGCCCTCTAGCTCTCCCACACACAGCTGCTGCTCTATGTTGACATGCCAGCCTGATATAGTCTGCCAGTTTATAATTAAACTGAACACACTGTCTCCTGAGTGTGTGGTACACATGTAACCAGGCTGGGAGCACACACACACACACACACACACGCGCACACGCACACGCACACACGCACAGACACACACACAGACACTTACACACAATGATACATAAATCCCATCTTTCCAGGCTTTTATATTGTGTTTTATGACGAAGTTTTTATGACTAATAATTATTTACTTATTTTACTAAATAAATGTAAACTGACGAAAAGCAAACGTGTTGTAAACGTTCAAGGTAAATAAAAAACCAAAACAAATATATAACTGAACTGTTTTTCTATTCACACAATGTTCCTAAAATCCCTACATTTTGTGAATTGCAAAATTAAGTTGTGTCACCTCAAGTTTAATTTAAAAAAATCATAAATAAATGTTACATTTTGTTCACAAAAATATGTTTTATGTGAGCTCATTTGGAAAAAGTGTTATTAGATGAATGAACTTTGATGCATGTCTCACTATGTGCTCTTTTGGGTCCTTAAACTTAAAGGAATTGGGCCTGGAAAAGTCCTAGGAGATTTAGGGAGGAGTAGAAGTACTCAGATCTTGTACTTGAGTAAAAGTAGAAGTACTCAGATCTTGTACTTGAGTAAAAGTAGAAGTACTCAGATCTTGTACTTGAGTAAAAGTAGAAGTACTCAGATCTTGTACTTGAGTAAAAGTAGAAGTACTCAGATCTTGTACTTGAGTATAAGTATAAGTACTCAGAGTGTAGGAATACTCTGTTACAAGTAAAAGCACACAATGTACCTCTGAATTGTAGTGGAGTAGGAGTATAAGTACCTCAAAATTGAACTTAAGTGCAGTACTTGAGTAAATGTACTTAGTTGCTTCCTACTCTGGTAATAAGTGAGTACGGAGAGTATTTAGGGCTCATGCTCAGAGGGTAATTACAGGGTGGAGGAGTCAAACTGCAGGGTGGAGCAGCTGAGGATGAAAATAACATCCAGTCTGGATTCACTGCCCTCTCGTTCCTCTCGTTCCTCTCGTTCCTCTCAGGTGAAGCTGAGTCTCTCTGTGAGGAGTGTGTGTTCACTGCCCTCTCGTTCCTCTCAGGTGAAGCTGAGTCTCTCTGTGAGGAGTGTGTCTTCTCATCATGGAGGTGAAAGAGGAAATGATGGATATCCTTCACAAGGTGTGGATTAAACTGCAGAACCTCCCTCAGTCCAGTCCTCTGGAGCTGGGAGCTTTCTCCGTGCTCATGCTGTTCGTGGGTGAGGTTTCACTTCTTATGTTTCATTGAGCTGATGTTCACAGGACACACATGTTCAAAGGATGTAATGCCATATGGTTCAAGGTTCTTTATTGTCAAACTAACATAGCTACAGAGTAATTATGTCGTTGAAAATCTTAGGTCACAGGCTTCTCCAACAATGCAACATAATAATACAGATAGTAAAAGTAATACAAAAAGAAAAATAGTTCTAAAATAAAGTGAGAGAGAAAAAACAGGTGGAATAGTGCAGTACGAGTCTATATACAAGTTATTGGAATGATATATATTAGATAGTAGATATATATTACTGATGAATGTTATGAAATTGTTTTAGCAGTTCAATTTTTTAACAGTCTCACTGCCCGCGGGAAGAAACTGTCTCCGAATCTTCTTGTCCTTGCCAGGATGCTGCGGTAACGTCTGCCAGACGGCAACAGAAAGAACAGTTTGTGGCTGGGGTGATGGGGGTCTTTGATAATCCGTAGGGATTTCTTCCTGAGCCGCTGGGAGTAAAGGTCCTCCATGGATGGCAGCTCCGTCCTGGTGATGTGCTGTGCAGTTTTCACCACCCTCTGTAAAGCCTTACGATCGAGGTCGGTGCAGCTGCCATACCAGGCCGTGATGCAGCCAGTCAGGATGCTCTCTATGGTGCACCTGTAGAAGGTCAGGACCCTCTCTATCGTGCACCTGTAGAAGGTCAGGATCCTCTCTATGGTGCACCTGTAGAAGGTCAGGATCCTCTCTATGGTGCACCTGTAGAAGGTCAGGACCCTCTCTATCGTGCACCTGTAGAAGGTCAGGATCCTCTCTATGGTGCACCTGTAGAAGGTCAGGATCCTCTCTATGGTGCACCTGTAGAAGGTCAGGATCCTCTCTATGGTGCACCTGTAGAAGGTCAGGATCCTCTCTATGGTGCACCTGTAGAAGGTCAGGACCCTCTCTATCGTGCACCTGTAGAAGGTCAGGATCCTCTCTATGGTGCACCTGTAGAAGGTCAGGATCCTCTCTATGGTGCACCTGTAGAAGGTCAGGACCCTCTCTATCGTGCACCTGTAGAAGGTCAGGATCCTCTCTATGGTGCACCTGTAGAAGGTCAGGATCCTCTCTATGGTGCACCTGTAGAAGGTCAGGATCCTCTCTATGGTGCACCTGTAGAAGGTCAGGATCCTCTCTATGGTGCACCTGTAGAAGGTCAGGACCCTCTCTATCGTGCACCTGTAGAAGGTCAGGATCCTCTCTATGGTGCACCTGTAGAAGGTCAGGATCCTCTCTATGGTGCACCTGTAGAAGGTCAGGACCCTCTCTATGGTGCACCTGTAAAAGGTCAGGATGCTCTCTATGGTGCACCTGTAGAAGGTCAGGATCCTCTCTATGGTGCACCTGTAGAAGGTCAGGATGCTCTCTATGGTGCACCTGTAGAAGGTCAGGATCTTCTCTATGGTGCACCTGTAGAAGGTCAGGATCCTCTCTATGGAGCACCTGTAGAAGGTCAGGATCCTCTCTATGGTGCACCTGTAGAAGGTCAGGATGCTCTCTATGGTGCACCTGTAGAAGGTCAGGATCCTCTCTATGGTGCACCTGTAGAAGGTCAGGATGCTCTCTATGGTGCACCTGTAGAAGGTCAGGATGCTCTCTATGGTGCACCTGTAGAAGGTCAGGATCCTCTCTATGGTGCACCTGTAGAAGGTCAGGACCCTCTCTATGGTGCACCTGTAGAAGGTCAGGATGCTCTCTATGGTGCACCTGTAGAAGGTCAGGATCCTCTCTATGGTGCACCTGTAGAAGGTCAGGATGCTCTCTATGGTGCACCTGTAGAAGGTCAGGACCCTCTCTATGGTGCACCTGTAGAAGTTGCAGAGTATCCTGGAATCCATTTTGAACCTCCTCAGCCTGCGGAGGAAGAAGAGCCGCTGTCGAGCTTTCTTGGTGATGGTGGTGGTGTGAAGAGACCATGTCAGGTCCTCAGTGATGTGGACCCCAAGGAACCTGAAGCTGCTGACTCTCTCCACCGTAGTCCCATTGATGGCGATGGGGGCGTGTCCCTCTCCCTGCTGCTTCCTGTAGTCCACAATCAGCTCCTTTTGTTTTGCTGACGTTGAGATGGAGGTTGTTATCCTGGCACCAAGATGTCAGGTTTTCGACCTCCTCTCTGTACGCCGTCTCGTCATCGTCTGTGATCTGGCCGATGACGGTCGTGTCATCAGCAAACTTCACGATGGTGTTGGAGCTGTGTGTGGCCACACAGTCGTGAGTGAACAGGGAGTAGAGGAGAGGGCTGAGCACGCAGCCTTGAGGGGCACCGGTGTTTAGAATCAGGGTGGAGGATGTGATGTTTCCCACCCGCACTGCCTGGGGTCTGCCCGTCAGGAAGTTCAGGATCCAGTCACAGAGGGCGCTGTTGAGCCCGAGGTCTCTGAGCTTGATGGCCAGCTTGGAGGGCACAATGGTATTGAATGCTGAACTGTAGTCAATGCACAGCTGACGTACATTTGGCAGTGAAAATTCCTAAAGTCCCATTTGATCTTAGAACAGCTACCTCAATTGGAATTTTTTTAAGTAAATTAAAGACCTATCTTTTTAATTTGGCTTATAATTTGAGGCAATTTTATTACGTGTTTCTGTTGCACTTTGTCTTAATACTTTAATGTGTTTATGGAGAGCACTTTTAATCGCCTTGTTGTTGAAATACAGTCGCCTCGCTCACCTCATTTTACTCTAAAGTCTTGGAGAATCCAAAAACATTTGACAGTCTTAAAGGATCGAAGTAAATCAAAGCCAGTAGGTAGTGTCTCTACTTTAAAGAGTCCTCTCCTGCTGATGTTCAGGTGTATATCAGTATGTAGTGTCTCTACTTTAAAGAGTCCTCTCCTGCTGATGTTCAGGTGTATATCAGTATGTAGTGTCTCTACTTTAAAGAGTCCTCTCCTGCTGATGTTCAGGTGTATATCAGTATGTAGTGTCTCTACTTTAAAGAGTCCTCTCCTGCTGATGTTCAGGTGTATATCAGTATGTAGTGTCTCTACTTTAAAGAGTTCTCTCCTGCTGATGTTCAGGTGTATATCAGTATGTAGTGTCTCTACTTTAAAGAGTCCTCTCCTGCTGATGTTCAGGTGTATATCAGTATGTAGTGTCTCTACTTTAAAGAGTCCTCTCCTGCTGATGTTCAGGTGTATATCAGTATGTAGTGTCTCTACTTTAAAGAGTCCTCTCCTGCTGATGTTCAGGTGTATATCAGTATGTAGTGTCTCTACTTTAAAGAGTCCTCTCCTGCTGATGTTCAGGTGTATATCAGTATGTAGCGTCTCTACTTTAAAGAGTCCTCTCCTGCTGATGTTCAGGTGTATATCAGTATTTAGTGTCTCTACTTTAAAGAGTCCTCTCCTGCTGATGTTCAGGTGTATATCAGTATGTAGTGTCTCTACTTTAAAGAGTCCTCTCCTGCTGATGTTCAGGTGTATATCAGTCTGTAGTGTCTCTACTTTAAAGAGTCCTCTCCTGCTGATGTTCAGGTGTATAACAGTATGTAGTGTCTCTACTTTAAAGAGTCCTCTCCTGCTGATGTCCAGGTGTATATCAGTATGTAGTGTCTCTACTTTAAAGAGTCCTCTCCTGCTGATGTTCAGGTGTATATCAGTATGTAGTGTCTCTACTTTAAAGAGTCCTCTCCTGCTGATGTTCAGGTGTATATCAGTATGTAGTGTCTCTACTTTAAAGAGTCCTCTCCTGCTGATGTTCAGGTGTATATCAGTATGTAGTGTCTCTACTTTAAAGAGTTCTCTCCTGCTGATGTTCAGGTGTATATCAGTATGTAGTGTCTCTACTTTAAAGAGTCCTCTCCTGCTGATGTTCAGGTGTATATCAGTATGTAGTGTCTCTACTTTAAAGAGTCCTCTCCTGCTGATGTTCAGGTGTATATCAGTATGTAGTGTCTCTACTTTAAAGAGTCCTCTCCTGCTGATGTTCAGGTGTATATCAGTATGTAGTGTCTCTACTTTAAAGAGTCCTCTCCTGCTGATGTTCAGGTGTATATCAGTATGTAGCGTCTCTACTTTAAAGAGTCCTCTCCTGCTGATGTTCAGGTGTATATCAGTATTTAGTGTCTCTACTTTAAAGAGTCCTCTCCTGCTGATGTTCAGGTGTATATCAGTATGTAGTGTCTCTACTTTAAAGAGTCCTCTCCTGCTGATGTTCAGGTGTATATCAGTCTGTAGTGTCTCTACTTTAAAGAGTCCTCTCCTGCTGATGTTCAGGTGTATATCAGTATGTAGTGTCTCTACTTTAAAGAGTCCTCTCCTGCTGATGTCCAGGTGTATATCAGTATGTAGTGTCTCTACTTTAAAGAGTCCTCTCCTGCTGATGTTCAGGTGTATATCAGTATGTAGTGTCTCTACTTTAAAGAGTCCTCTCCTGCTGATGTTCAGGTGTATATCAGTATGTAGTGTCTCTACTTTAAAGAGTCCTCTCCTGCTGATGTTCAGGTGTATATCAGTATGTAGTGTCTCTACTTTAAAGAGTCCTCTCCTGCTGATGTTCATGTTCTTCTCCTTTCAGCCACATTCCTCTTCCTGATCCTGTTGTCCTGCATCCACTGCTGTTGCTGCGGGAAACAAAAATACCAAACCACCAGAGTTCAGCCCATGTGAAGACAGAACCCACACACACACACACACACAAACACTTACAAACCTCTGGATTTCATGGGGTGAAATCATCAGAAGAGAGGGAAAGATGGAGACATTAGACACAAAGAAGGGTGTCACTGGGATCCATTTAAATCAGCATTAATCACAAAGACTCTCTGTGTGTCGCCTCCAACAACAAAACCCTCACAGTGGAGAGAGTGATGAGTAAGAAAGCTGAATTGTGTTTAAATGTCACATTGAACCCCATTATTGCAAACGAGCTGCTCTGGTATCCTGTTGATATGCAGGGGAATGTGAATAACAACATGGCAACTTGTGTATTAGCATAAAAATGCAAGTGTAAAAAAGACAGAGCGCCCCCTGCTGGTCCAATGAAGATAACTTTTAAATAACAGGAGCTTTTTATTTGTTAGACATACAACAGTGACACATGTATTCTTGTTAATATATACATGTGTTTTTGTTTTTATACCGAGGTAAAGCAATTTTGCATTTTTGGATGCAACGGAAATGTCATAAATGTTGAATATATATATTTTAAAACAAAACAAATGTTTTACTGACTTGTTTTTTTACACATGATAGAATGTAAAGATGTTATAATCCTTGAAAATCAAGATCTGTCACCCTGAGTTTTTCAGAATACACATATGAATAGACATGGTTCATTAAAAGTGCTTAAAATATATATTGTTTGATATATTGGTCTCCTTTGTTTACTTCCGTCATCACTTTGTAACACTCGCGCTCCTATTGGCTATCGCTCCAACACATTGTACGTGACAGGCTAAGGGGCGGGACATCTCTAAGCGGTTGACCAATCACAACAGAGTCGATCAGCTCAGAGCAGACTGGGCTCTGGTTTCAGACAGAGGGTGGAAAGAGGTGCTGCAGCACAGGCAGTATGAGAAAAATAAAGAGCTTTTTGAACATTAAAGCATGGAGACACTACATACTGATATACACCTGAACATCAGCAGGAGAGGACTCTTTAAAGTAGAGACACTACATACTGATATACACCTGAACATCAGCAGGAGAGGACTCTTTAAAGTAGAGACACTACATACTGATATACACCTGAACATCAGCAGGAGAGGACTCTTTAAAGTAGAGACACTACATACTGATATACACCTGAACATCAGCAGGAGAGGACTCTTTAAAGTAGAGACACTACATACTGATATACACCTGAACATCAGCAGGAGAGGACTCTTTAAAGTAGAGACACTACATACTGATATACACCTGAACATCAGCAGGAGAGGACTCTTTAAAGTAGAGACACTACATACTGATATACACCTGAACATCAGCAGGAGAGGACTCTTTAAAGTAGAGACACTACATACTGATATACACCTGAACATCAGCAGGAGAGGACTCTTTAAAGTAGAGACACTACATACTGATATACACCTGAACATCAGCAGGAGAGGACTCTTTAAAGTAGAGACACTACATACTGATATACACCTGAACATCAGCAGGAGAGGACTCTTTAAAGTAGAGACACTACATACTGATATACACCTGAACATCAGCAGGAGAGGACTCTTTAAAGTAGAGACACTACATACTGATATACACCTGAACATCAGCAGGAGAGGACTCTTTAAAGTAGAGACACTACATATTGATATACACCTGAACATCAGCAGGAGAGGACTCTTTAAAGTAGAGACACTACATACTGATATACACCTGAACATCAGCAGGAGAGGACTCTTTAAAGTAGAGACACTACATACTGATATACACCTGAACATCAGCAGGAGAGGACTCTTTAAAGTAGAGACAAAACATACATACATTAAACCTAAAAATAAGCATAATAGGTCCCTTTGATTGCACGTCTCAAAATATAAGGTTTCTGGTCCTTTAATTTGAGAAAAAATGGGCTTTAAAAGTCCTTTAAATTGATCATTGGTCACACCCTGCACTACTGTATGCATTCCTTATCAGTACATCTCTCCTTTGCCTGCACCAGTGAACACTTTCACTAAACATTAACCAGGAAAAGTAGATTTGACTTCGCCCACACAGAGCGACTGGAAGTGTCACCTGGAAGCAGAATATCTTGTCTGTGGACAAACTGTCAGTGTTTATCTGAGGGCTTTGTTCAAGTAATTCAGCAGCAGAAGCTATCTGTCGTCACACAGATTATTATTTCAGTGTCAGGAGTCAGTGAACCGGAGAGGACCATCCAGACAACATGGGGAGGTGAGTGAGTGTAAACAAGGCCACAATAAGTGTTGGATTTACAAAGGATTTACAGTCGTTGATTATCAAAATATAATGTGGCTGTTTGGTTGGAGCTTTAAAGCGTCATTAAGGAAACATGTATTTTGTATTCAGCCTTTAAATATAAAATAAATAGCTATAATTAAACTGATAATGGCAGTTTACAAGGATTCTGGGTGTACAATTTGATGATATTCCTACCTATAATAAACACATTTCTATACTATTCTTTGGTTTTTCCAATATATCCCTTAAACCCAGTCTGGGTGAGAACTCATTTCAATAAACTTATCTTAACTACTTATCTACCTACCTAATATTCCTCTTTTGTCTACAGGACCACTCACATATTACTTCAAACTCAGGCCTTATGTCAAATATATACATTGCAGATTACCAAAAGTATACTGTAAACTGTGCTATTTGTAGTTTGCTGCCACAGGGGGGCTTTCAACTAAAACAGGATATGAAGTAGGACTTTGGGGGCGAAGCACCTTCTGTTTGAATTACTTTAGTGTTCATGGTTCAGGATATGTTTATCAGGGCCGAATTATCTACAGAGGTTTCATCATCTTGAAAACAAACTAACACACTGATTAAAATAGATAGAAACACTGAACAAAGCAGATTGGCGTAAAAGATCTGCGTTTTCTCGGTGGACACTGGGTGGTGTGACGGTCAGGTGAAAGCTAACTTTTCTCAGCTTGTTGTTTCCCTGATAACATAAGATCTAGATGTTCAGAAGGTTTCTATTAAGAGCCGAATTATTCACAGAGGTATTCTCCTCTCCAAAACAAACGGATACCGTGAGAAAAACCGGTAAAAAACCGGAATAAAAGAGTGTCAAGTTATCAGTCTTTAAGCGAGGGACAGTGGGCGGTGTGTTTGCCGAGCAACGTTATCACAGCTTGTTTCTCTGATAACTTTAAAACCAGCCCTTTAAAATGTTTTTAGTTAGAGCCGAATTATCCATGGAAGTATTATCATCTCCAAAACAAACTCACCTGGCAGTCAAACCTGTGAAAAAAACTGAAAAAATAAGTTTCAATTTCAAAATAAAGGTTTTTTCAGCGCACATTTGGTGAGCCAGATAAGAGCAACGTTACAACGTTGGTTTTTACTGATAACTTAAAATCCAGCCCTTTATAATGTTTTCATTTAGAGCCGAATTATCCATGAAGGTTAAAATATATATACATTTGAAATAACAAGAACTCAAAATCAGGTTTACTGACAAGAAGATATACATATAGGCCTACAAGGAATTAGCTTCGCTGTATGGTGTATACATAAGTTGTAAAGAAATGTGTTTAACAGTGAGTATAAACAGCATGTGACAAATTGCTTTGAAAAATAAAAAATATCTGCAATATACCAGAAATTGATTTTGTATTCATTGTGTAATTTGAATTGTTTTAACATACTTCAAAAAACAAAAACTCTCCATGTAATTCAGTTTAATGTCCATGTTCTGCCTCTGAGCATGTTTTGAGTGCTGGGTTTCTGTTCTTGCACTCATTTGTATTGCTTTACCATGGTTAAAATAACAACAACTCTCCATCTGAATCAGTTTATTGCCTATGTTCTGCCTCTGAGCATGTGTCTGTGCCCCTGCAGTGTGGATCCGGACCCCCCCGGGCCCCTGGAGGTGGGCTGGGTTTTGGCCCGGCTGCAGGAAGAACCCTGGGCTCTGGGCGGCGCTGTGGTGATCGGGATCTTTGTGCTCGGGTTTCTGGGTCTGACCGTCTTCGCTCTGCTGTTTGGATGCTGCTGCAACCAGAACCAGAACCAGAAGACGAGGAAGAAGAAGAAGAAGAAGAGGGATGGGGTGATCTAGATCATTCTACCTTTTAATATTTGATTTTGATTTGATTTGATTTATTTAGCACGTTTAAAACAATACAACATAATAATAATAATAATAATAATAATGAAATGAAACAAGAGAATTATGATACTGTACAAACTTAAGCAGTATCAAATTGATAAACAAAAATATTATTGATTTACAAATTATATATAATGATCTACTCAATTATACACAACACACATCAGATATGTTACAGCAACCAATAGATATAATAGTTTTATTGTTATTAGGGAGCGTGAGGAAGACCTTCCTTTTTAAAATAAAGCCTATAGTTAGAGCTGGTTATACGCTATTTGTCCTCCTGAGTCCTAAATGTTATGGTACTTTATTGTTTTTATTGTATATTTACTGTCTTCTTGTTGTATTCGTTTCTATTTGTATTTCTTGTCTTTTTAAGGATCTTTTTCACTGTAATCTATGTTTGGTAATCTGAAAAAGCCCCCTGAGACAAACATGTTTTGTGATATTGGACTCTTTAAATAAACGTTGATTTGATTTGATATCAGATGATCTGGGAGAAGTCTACTTATTGGATCTGAATCAGAATCAGAATTCCTTTATTAGTCCCACAGAGAGCGGGGTAATATACAGCGTTAGTAATATGACAGGTAAAATAAGGCATGCAATAATAAAGACTCTGCTAACTTAGAAATAGATCAGAATCGGTTTTATTACCAAGTTTACTGATACGAGGAATTTGCTTTGGTATACGTGGTGCATTCAAAGACACAGAAAGAAGAATAAGTAGTGAAACAAATGAAATAAAAATAGGATGTAGGCTATGATAACAAATTAATAATATTTACATATGACAAATACTGTATTTAAAGTGGAGGGCTGTGCTGATTTAAAAGAGGTAATGTGGAGAGGGAATGTGCAACAACAAAAACTATACCTAGGCCTATATATATATATATATACCTCTTATCCATCCCCACCGGCATCAAGCACTGGACCTGGGGGGACAGAGCCCTCTCCGTCGCTGCCCCCTCCCTCTGGAACTCACTCCCCCAACCCATCAGAGACTGCACTGACCTCACCACCTTAAAAACACTCACAAAACTCACCTCTTCAATCTGGCTTTTAATGTGTGATTGTTTTTGTATTGCTTGATTTTAATTTGACTTTAACTATATATATATTTGTTGTTCTTTTCTTTTCACTATATCTGTAAAGCGTCTTTGAGCACCTGTAAAAGGGTTAACAAAATAAATCTATTATTATATATAGAGAATAAAGGCACACATTAGTAATATAATACAAAATATAGACAGATAAGTACACATCCTTGGCAATAAAATGAGACGCAGCAGTGACATTACGGTGTTGAGATATTGTAAAAAATGCACAAAAATGAGTGGGACATCTACAAACAATCTATGTTTTTAATACAATTGCCCAAAAAAGGTCTATATAGCAATGCGCCTGTGTTGTGTGGTTTTCTACCAGAGGCCAAACATGCTTTGCCAAATATACAAGACACAGAGAGAAAAACGTAAGAGACAATTTGGGTAGGGTTTGATCAATCTCAATAACCTATAAAGTCTTGATGAGGATCAATACAAAGCTTCATTTGAGTTTTCAAAAAATACTGGATTTTCTTTCTTCATGGTCATTGCTTTTTCTCCAGCATGGTAGGTTGCGGTAATGCACCTCAAACGTTATTTAAACCAAAACTGGAAGAAGAAAACCATAAGAACTACATCTCCCAGATGCACGCTGGTCTTACGTCCTACACTGACGTCATTACGCCGCTAACGGCACGTTGACGCACAATCGCACACAGTAATGGCAGCGAGCGGTAAGAAGAGTGTTTTGCTCTCCTCTCTGGCGGACTATGGAGACGATTCAGAGCCGGACTCTGATCCAGAACCAGAACCAGAGGAGCCCGGTAACACTCTTTATGTTTATAGTTTGTTTGTTTTATTAAAAAGTGGCTGAAAACGCCCTGATATCGTATTTGCATGTGGAGCTAATGTTAGCTTCATGCTAACTTGGCTAACGTTAGTTTCAAGGAGACGTAAAAGAAACACACGAAGCTACAACGTTTAATGATACAACTACATTTCAGAGAGATATTTAAATAGTGTTTTTGCAAGACATGCGTTTTCCTGTAATTGGGGTTATGTTTTATAGGTTCATTTGATACCAACATCTTCAATTTAGCTTCAAAGCTGCTGCTACAGCCTTTACAAACTCACCTTACAATGTGCACCACAGCCTCCTTTCACATGTGTAACTTATAAACTATCCTATGTTTACATGTCTCTTCTCATGTAGTACAAGTCTAAATATCTGTTTCTGCTGTATTTTGGTATTTTATAGAATATCTTAATTATTCCAGAATAGTTTATATTGTGTCTTATTTGTGTTTTCTACTGTAGAAATTTGCTGTTTCAAGTTATTTTACGTTAATTTCTACTTTATTCCACATTTTAAACGAGATAAGATAGCTATACTTTATTGATCCTTAATTGGGATTTGTTTTCATTACAGCAGCATGTTAAAACAAAGTATAGCAGAACTAAAAAGGAACTTGTATGCAAGTTGAAATATGTAGACTATCTGACAAACACCATAAAGGCCCAACTTACAGCTAACACAATTTAAAAGTAGGATTCAAATATTTAATTGTATTTATCCGTTGTCATATTTTAACGCCTGAACACACGCTGCTGCTGTACCTAACATGTTCCCCAATTTGGCTTCAAAATGGGAAATGGACTGTACTTAATAGAGCTTTATCAGGTGTTCAGTAACTTGCCCAAGGACACATCAACATGTTAACTGCACGGACTGGAATCGAACCAACAACCTACTGATTGAAAGACGACACACTCCCTCACAGCCAAAGTCAATAATCTATCTATCCATCTAAAAGATACTGGTGTCAAAACTGGTTAGACGTAATGTTGTGACGCATATTTCAAAGCCAGCTGTCAGACATGCTGTTTCCCATCACGCTGTTCTTCGTGTGACAAAAGTACTGGACATAAAATACACACTGTTTCACACATACATGTAAATATATATATATCTTATATGTATATTTTAATTCATTTCTTATTTATAGTTGCTTAACTGTATATAATTGTGTGAATCTTATGTGAATCTGTGCTGTCCTGTTTTTCATTCTCACCCTGTTGAATTTCCCCACGGGGATTAATAAAGCTCCATCTTATCTTATCTTACAGGGTTCCCGCGGGGTCTTAAAAAGTCTCAAATTTGAAAAAAATAAAATAAGAAAAGTCTTAAATATGATTTAGAAGGTCTTTAAAATGATCGGATTGATTTGAAAGGTACTTCTGTGTTGCGATCACGTCTAAATGTCCGGGCTGCAAAGTAACTAGTACGGTAAGAGCCTTTCAGTTCCCCCCAACAATCTGTATTGAAATAAATCAACATGGAACCAGTCATCACTACCTTTGTTTCCCCCGGCCCCTTATCGGAGAACACCCAGCTAGTAACCTAGCAACCAAGCTTCGGCTAGCAGCAGTCAGAAACTCAGGTATCTTCGAATCTACTTACAAATAAATATGGGGAAGTGTAAGTTCAACCGTATTTGGTTGGAAAACATCGAATTTAGTGCTTTTTTTTCTTCAGGTTTTTGTCTAATACGCTAACACTACTGTTATGCTGTTACGTTCAGTCATCGTTGTGATGTTGAACGTGAATACATTTACTTTGAAAGTAATTAAGGGACGTATTTCTTCTTTAATAGCAATTTTCCTTCATACTTTCTTGCCGTGAAATAGGTCTTAAATTCAATTCAAAGTGGCCTTCTTCGAAAATGACATGCCCAGAACAAATGACTATCTTCCCTTCTAAAAGGGTTAAATTAATCATCTTTTTTCTCAAAGCAATGATAAACCTGTGAGTTGGATGTAGAAACGTCAGAATCAATATAGATTTTATTTTATTTTAAAGTAAATTCAGATTGAACATAGTAAAGAAATGTAAATGATAGTGTCCGTCCAAAAACAAAAACATTACTTATAGTGAAAACCACCCTTGAATGATGGGATCGGAGACTAAAAGCTTTAGGAATCCAAACTATAACATATAAGTACCCTGTATCAAAATTGATGTGACATTTGACCTTTTTTGAGAGGTTTAGCAAAAAAAAAAACACTTCTGGGGTCATTTGGGTGCATTTTCCATATCTCTGGCCCCCCTTGGTCGATTTTGATGATTGACATCTCTTTTTAACCGTTAGAGCCAATAGAATCGAGGGGAAGTTCCTAAAATCCATCTAAACATTACCCATTGGTGAACGAGTGAAGTGCAGCCAGAATGCCCAAAACCGGAAGCTGGGTTGTCGCTCTCATACACTCTATATGAAAACTCAGTTTTTGACATAAATATTACGATTAGGGATGCCAGCGATTATTCGATTTTTCAAATATTCGTCTCCATAATCGAAAATTATTTTTAAAATTCGATTTTATTTATATATTTTTTTATTATTATTTATGTTTTTCTTCTGGCTTAGTTTCAACCAAAATATAGACTAATGCTAATAATAGTAACGGGCCGTCTCCACGGCAGCGTTAAAAAATCTTGAAACGCTTCTGCCCATTCACTTTGAATGGGGTGACGTCACTTTTTTTCGCTTTCGCCGAAATGCATTGTGGGCAGGCGAGCGGAGATTCTCAGGATTTTCAAGATCCAAAGTTGAACAATGTTCAACTTTTGAAGCTGAGGTGGAAGCGTCAGCCAATCAAATCCCGTGTACGCAAATCTGACAGTTCAAGCTCTAGCCAATCAAACGGCGTGTATGCTGGGAGAGCCAGACCGCAGGTCATTTCCTCATATTCCAAAAAATGGAGGAGAAATTAACGGTAGCGAATCAATCACCCGGTGCTTTATGACCAGACCTACCGGGATATAAACCGGAGGAGCCAGGCATGGAGGGAGGTGGCAGAGACAGTGGTATGTTTTCGCCTGTTTTGGGGAGTTTATATCCAGTTTACTTCGGGCTTTTTGGCTTCGTATGTCGCGGGCGGGAGATTCATGTGATTGGTTGATCGCAAAAAAATCCCCAAGCTTCAGATACGCCCACCTCCAAGATTTTTTTAACGCTGCTGTGGAGACGGTCCGTAATAGTATTAATAATTGTAAATGGCCATTGATCACACCACCAGTTTGTTTTACTGTAAACTTGGAGGAAGCCAGCAGCGCAGAGTGCAGACTGCTGCTGCCTGCTACACACCGCCCCCCCCCCCCCCTTCTCCGTCACACGTGCGATTGATTTATTGGCGATATACAGAACAGGAACAGTGAGAACAACACAACTAAAGATGAACAAAGCGGCACGTTCAAAGAAGAGTTGGAACTACTTCGAACTGACAAGTGCAAATGCAAGCTCTGCGAAAATACTGTTTTTCCTCTCCCGCGCGCGGGGGGGGGGGGGGGGGCGGCGGTGTGGCGGCGGCGGCGAATAATCGATTAATATTCGCCAGGGCTGCGTTTTAATGCCATTGAACACAACTTTTGATCAGAAAACAGCAAAAGTAAGACGTCTTTGCCGCTTTGGCTCGGTAAAGTGAAGTTGTGTGTTGTCTGGTTTCGCCTTCGCTGCCGTGGGGGCTATGGGGCTTAACAGGTTAAAAAGCCTTACATTTGAGTTGGTGAAACCTGCAGGAACCCTGTCTTATCTTATCTTTCCCACAATCCTCCTCTCTCTCTCAGCAGGGGGGCGAGTCGGCGGTCTGGTTTACAGCTATGGAGACGACGACCTGAACCGAACTGAAGACGCTGAGGACAAAGTGTCGGGAGATGAAGAAAGCCGAGAGAGCAACTCGCTAAGTATCGTGAGTTCTGGATTTCTATTATTATTTTATTTGTATTATTCAACCGTAGCAAAACTTTGAATACAATGTTATAATTCATATCCATTGCATTGTGTTTTTATGCAAATAATTACTCTAAATGATTAAATCAAACTAACATTTAGATTGAATCGGATGTAATTTGATTTACATCCATATTCATTTATTGGGGAACTGTTCTGAAAAAAGTAGTTTGGATGCTTGATCCATAAAAAGTATACAACCATTGATTCACAACTTTGATATTGTCCATACTGTCACTTTTGCAGATTCTCCATTTAATTCTCGTAGTGTTCATCTCTTCTGCATTTCTGTTTTTATAGGATATTGAAGAATCTGACGAGGCGAGGGAGGCAGATGAAGTCGAGGTATTTAAACACGACATATTATTTTCATTTTCACATTCATATCAGTATGTAGTGTCTCTACTTTAAAGAGTCCTCTCCTGCTGATGTTCAGGTGTATATCAGTATGTAGTGTCTCTACTTTAAAGAGTCCTCTCCTGCTGATGTTCAGGTGTATATCAGTATGTAGTGTCTCTACTTTAAAGAGTCCTCTCCTGCTGATGTTCAGGTGTATATCAGCATGTAGTGTCTCTACTTTAAAGAGTCCTCTCCTGCTGATGTTCAGGTGTATATCAGTATGTAGTGTCTCTACTTTAAAGAGTCCTCTCCTGCTTATGTTCAGGTGTATATCAGTATGTAGTGTCTCTACTTTAAAGAGTCCTCTCTTGCTGATGTTCAGGTGTATATCAGTATGTAGTGTCTCTACTTTAAAGAGTCCTCTCCTGCTGATGTTCAGGTGTATATCAGTATGTAGTGTCTCTACTTTAAAGAGTCCTCTCCTGCTGATGTTCAGGTGTATATCAGTGTGTAGTGTCTCTACTTTAAAGAGTCCTCTCCTGCTGATGTTCAGGTGTATATCAGTATGTAGTGTCTCTACTTTAAAGAGTCCTCTCCTGCTGATGTTCAGGTGTATATCAGTATGTAGTGTCTCTACTTTAAAGAGTCCTCTCCTGCTGATGTTCAGGTGTATATCAGTATGTAGTGTCTCTACTTTAAAGAGTCCTCTCCTGCTGATGTTCAGGTGTATATCAGTATGTAGTGTCTCTACTTTAAAGAGTCCTCTCCTGCTGATGTTCAGGTGTATATCAGTATGTAGTGTCTCTACTTTAAAGAGTTCTCTCCTGCTGGTAGAGTGGCCGGCAGCCACAGCGCGCCTGGTCGGTAGATACAGCGTGCCGGGCTAAAATGCTGGTCACCTCCTTATGTAAACAAACACGCATGTAAACGGCAATTTATTGATGTCAGAACGTTATCAAGTTCATTTTTATTTATCGTACGATAAGTCAAATTAATTGCTTATCGCGACAGGCCTACTAACACCCAGAGAACACACTGCAGGAGAGGGAACTCCACAAAGAGCAGAACAGGGCCCCTTTAAAACTCTTTCACTGTGTTCACATGCAATGCAGGAGCATGATCACTAGATGGTGCTGTGGCTTTATTTAACTCGAATTATCCTCAAATAAAAACAATCAGACCACCTGCACACCACATTAACCCTGTGTGTGTGTTGGTGTGTGTGTGTGTGTGTGTGTGTGTGTTTTAGAGCTTCCTGTTACAGGTCAGTGAGGTGAGAGTGAGTCATTAACCTGACGATAAGAGAGAGGATGTCAGAGGGTTTGTTTGCAGTTGTTTTAACTGGTATTTCAAATGTGATATGACTCCCAATAATTAAGGGATATTGTCATTCTGGCATAGTTTATTCTCGTTTTTAATAAAAAAATCTTCAAGTGAGGCATTTTTGCAAGAGCATGCAATTCTCTGCAGCACATTCTGCTTAAATTATAAGTCAAAGAGAAAAGGCATTTGTTTGTATTTACATGTCTTTTAAATCATACTGCAATTCATCAAGGTGACAAAAAAGCTTAATTTGTATTCAAATGTTTTTTAATTATACTAACATGTTTAAAATCTATCAAAAAAGGATTCATTCGTATTCAAATGTACCTTAACTGATGCTTAAAGTCAACAATCTAACAAAAAAAGTCCTTAATTTGCATTAAAATGCATTATAAATGATCCTATATTTCATAATTCTGACCAAAAGGCCTTCATTTGTATTCAAATGTTTTAAGAGAGGCTATATATAAATTCAAAATGTCAAAGTTATTATTAAAAGCTATTTTTTGCGTTTTGCCAACCATGTGCCTCCTGAGATGTGGCTACAGCTCTGGAAAGCTTCACTAAACATCTAAACCCTTCTCAGAGTGTCCGCTGGCTATTAAAAAGTATTAAAAAGTATTAAAGGGCATTTTCCAAGGTCTTACATTTTGTAGCTTGTTTTCAATAAGTATATAAATTGTCCAAAGAGGTTGTATTCTACAGTCTGCCTGAATGTAATCATTGCGTAGGTGTGTAGTGTGATTCTGTGTAGTTTATTTATGGCATCCCGTTGGATTTGACGTCATCTGAACAGGACATCGCACGCTCACTGCTTGATAGCGCAACATCGTTACAGGGAAATGCAAGTCTGCGTCCAAATGGTTGGAAGATAAGGAGGAAGGACAATCAATACTGTATACAGTGTTTCCCACAGATCTGAAATATACTTGGGGGGGGGGGGTGAGACGTGCCGTGCAACAACATTAACATGAACCTTTCTGTTGGGCGCTTGTTAGCAGACCCTTCAAGCCATTGCAGAGCGAACAGGTTCAGGCAGGGCCCGTAGTGATAGCCCTATAGTTTAAATCTACTACCCACAAATAAACATATGGACATGGGTTACTATTTAAAAAAAATTGTAAATGTATTTAGGAAACTGTCCATGTGATTTTAAGTGGGGGTGGACCTCAAATCCTCTAGGGGCATGCTCCCTTAGTTAAATGCATCAATCTGGTGCACTTTGAGGGGAAATAAAGAGACTAGATCTATGGGAACACCTATATGAAACAGAACTGTATACATTTCAATAATCATAAAATCATGGCCATAACCAATAACATACCATTTCCAATATGAAAAAACACTGACACCCTCAAATGGAAATATGTGTTTACATAAATGGTGACCAAACCGTTTGAGACCCACTGAGAACTTCGACTAAGTTAACTATCTAAACACTCAGAGAGTCCTTTACCTCTCCTGAGGCCTGTACTACGAAGCCGGTTCAACATAACCTGGATATGTTTGAGTTAGCCGGTTGGCCCAATCCAAAACATACGCGATCTGGCTAAGCTGTACTACGACGCTGGTTATCAAGTGGATCGCTCAAGCCAGCCGTGTCCTATCTAGTTAGGTGCGCGTTCACATGAAAGGGGTGGTATCTGGAGCATTTGACCAATCACAAACATGGACAAGCGTACTGACAGCGCAGCGTCATACTTCCTGAATGAAAAGTGAACTTTAATATTAGTCAAATATGAAGAAGTTAAACTTTAAACATCCATGACTTAAACACTTTATCCAGGATCAAAGCCACATAGCTGCACCTGCAAGGTGAATACAGCTGGTAACAGAAAAAGCGTTTGAATGCGTACATTAACAGGTTTATGATATCACTGCCCCGTCTAAGACACGATCTGACTTTAATTACATTTGACTCCAGTGTTTCGTCAACTTAATGTGTTGCTTAAAATAATACTTCTGCATACAGTATGTGACACTGTGAGTGTTGCACGGCCAGATACGGCTCAGCTGACTCAGATAAGGAAATATATGATACATTATGATGTGATATGATATGAATGATAATGGGACTCATCTACGTCTGCACTCACAGTGCCGCGGACTGTACTTAATGTTACTCTGATCCGGTTACTTATGTTGTGGCAGATATTTAAGTAAGCTTTCTTAACGCTAATGTTATAATAGTCAGATTGCTCTGAAGATGGGAGGGGATATTCTATTAATGTTCACGTTCACACAGTCAGTTGATTTTTGCCGGCCGTCTTTCCAGCAACGGCAGTTTTTCTGTATTTCCTCTATCCCCTCTATCCTGTAATATGACTTGATAGCTTTAAACTCCGCACACTGAGCTCTGATTGGTCAGCAGGCGGTGCTTTCACTGAGTTGATCTCTTAGCCTGCAACCTAACCTCCTCCAGAGCAGGTTAGCCGCTCAGCATAAGTTACCATGGAGATCTAGCCTGCTAAAAAGAGAACCAGCGTCGTAGGACCGGAAAGCCCGAGTTTTCCCTGAAGTTAGCCGGCTAAGAGAAAATCCTGCTTCGTAGTACAGGCCTCAGAGCTGAGGTTATCCCGAGCTTGAATGACACACAGAGACCAATCAACGGCTTTGATTTATAACCTGTATGACAGTGACCATGTCGGCAGGCCACATCATGTAGACAGCCAGTCACCCAAAATATCCTCATGCCAGCAGGCCACTTAACAGGCCAGGCCATCGGGAAACCCCCCGGTCCCCCCGATGGCCAGTCCAGGACTGGGTACTTAGAAGGTGTTAAATCTGACCTCAGGATTCCTGCATATACCCTGCTTTATTCTCACCCTGCGAGCTCCAGTTTGTTATCCTCATGTGACCTCTGACTTGCTCTGGAGGGCATCTTAAAGTGAGCGGAGCTTCAGATGTGCATCAATGGACTGAAGAGTGTTTTATTGGCTCTTTCTCAAACAGCAGGTGCTCTTGTTCTCTTTCTCTCCTCCTCCTCGTAACTTAACCAGCTTTCTGGACATTTCTTCGATGTTTCCGAGCACTTGCTAGGTGACGACATGAGCCAGTGAATACCGGCTCTGTTCCTCTGTGTTTTGGCACAACAGGAGAAATATTTCAGAGACTCTGCAGCCCTCCTCCTGCAGAGCTCACTGGAGGCGGCCTAAAACCTGTGACCCACAAAAACAAGTATTTTAAAAGGCTTAGGATTCATGAATACCACAAAAAAAAAAACGTATTTGTATTTAAACGTCTTAAAAATTATAATGCAATTCATAACATCTGACAAAAAAAGGCCTTATTTTGCAGTAACGTGTCCTTTTAAATAATAATCGTATTTATTAATCTAATAAATGTTCTTTATGTTCGCTGTGGGAGAGACACTTCATTAAATTGTCCTGTTTCTGTCTATTTTTGTTTTTACAGATCTCAGAATTGGAAAAAAAGGACCCCAATGAGCTCGTTGGTGAGTACACACACACACACACACACACACACGCACTCGCAGTCTCATACACACACGCACACACACACACTCGCAGTCTCATACACTCGCAGTCTCATACACACGCACACGCACGCACGCGCACACGCACACACACACACACACACACGCACACGCACGCACGCACACACGCACTCGCACGCACTCGCACGCACTCGCACGCACTCGCACGCACTCGCACGCACGCACACGCACGCACACGCACACTCACACACACTCACACTCACACACACACACACGCACACTCACTCGCTCACTCGCAGTCTCATACGCACACACACACACACTCACTCGCTCACTCGCAGTCTCATACGCACACACACACACACTCACTCGCTCACTCGCAGTCTCATACGCACACACACACACACACACACACACACACACACACACACACACACACACACACACACACACACACGCTCACTCGCAGTCTCATACGCACACACAGTCACACAGTCACACACAGTCACACACACAGTCACACACACAGTCACACACACAGTCACACACACAGTCACACACACAGTCACACACAGTCACACACACAGTCACACACAGTCACACACAGTCACACACAGTCACACACACAGTCACACACACACACAGTCACACACACACAGTCACACACACACACACAGTCACACACACACACAGTCACACACACACACACAGTCACACACACACACACAGTCACACACACAGTCACACACACTCACTCGCAGTCTCATACACACACACAGTCACACACACACACACTCACACACAGTCACACACACAGTCACACACACAGTCACACACACACACTCGCAGTCTCATACACACGCACACACACACACACTAGGGATGTCCCGATCCGATCACGTGATCGGGGATCGGAGCCGATCACGTGATTTTCACGTGATCGGGGATCGGGAGAAAAAAATCGGGGATCGGATTTTTTTTTTTTTTTTTTTTTTTTTTTTTTTTATAAAATATTTTTATACATTTTATTTAATGTTACAAAACAAAAATGACCATGTTCACGTCTTAAAGTCATCCTGAGGCCTTAGTTTTGGGTTAAAATTACACATCATGTATGTGTTGCTTCTTTTGGGCTTGTTTTCATAGACCTGGTTGCTTATTTCTCTCAAATCTGGCAACAGAGTGGGCGCAGTGTCTAATAGTAGCAGTAAGCTAACAAGAGGCTACGTTCAGCTGGTGCCTCGGGAGTCGGGACAGAGAAAATGTCAGGAGTTTGGAAGTATTATAAAATTGAAAGCGAAGGCAGTGTAACAGCCAGATGCAATGTTTGCAAGGCGGAGGTTCCGCGTGGTGGAAAGAACAGAGCTACGTTCAACACGACCAATCTAATACAAACACCACCAACAACAACACGACGAGTACACAGCGGCCACTCAGGTAACGGCACTGAAACAACCGACACTTTCAGAGACTTTTAAAAGGAAAGAGAAACTGCCCCAGAACAGTGAAAAGGCCAAAAGAATAACAGCCAAGATAGCTGAATTCATCGCGTTGGATGACCAGCCGTTATCTGTTACCTTTTTTTTCCTCTTAATGCATTACATAAAGATCGGATCGGGAAAAATCGGTATCGGCAGATTGTCAAAATCAAATGATCGGAATCGGATCGGGAGCAAAAAAAGGTGATCGGGACATCCCTAACACACACACACACACACACACACACACACACACACACACACACACACACACACACACACACACACACACACACACACACACACACACACAGTCTCACACACAGTCTCACACACACTCACACACAGTCACACACTCACACACAGTCACACACAGTCACACACTCACACACAGTCACACACAGTCACACACAGTCACACACAGTCACACACTCACACACAGTCACACACTCACACACAGTCACACAGTCACACACAGTCACACAGTCACACTCACACACACTCACACACAGTCACACACACACTCACACACAGTCACACACAGTCACACACAGTCACACACAGTCACACACAGTCACACACAGTCACACACAGTCACACACAGTCACACACAGTCACACACACACACACACTCACACACACACACACAGTCACGCACACACACACACACTCACTCACACACACACTCACACACACTCACACACACTCACTCACACACACTCTCACACACACACACACACTCACACACACTCTCACACACACACACACACACACACTCACACACACTCACACACACACACACTCACACACTCACACACACACACACTCACACACTCACACACACACACACACTCACATACACTCACACACACACACACTCACACTCACTCACTCACACACACTCACACACACTCACACACACTCACACACTCACACACACACACACACACACACAGTCACACACACTCACACACACAGTCACACACACTCACACACACAGTCACACACAGTCACACACACTCACACACTCACACACACACACACACACTCACTCACACACACTCACACACAGACACACACACACACAGTCACACACACACTCACACACACTCACACACAGACACACACACAGTCATGCACACACACATACACACACACACACACACAGACACACACACACACACACACACACAGTCTCATACACAGTCACACACACACACACAGACAAACACACACACACACCCACACACACCGACAACACCCACACACAGTCTCATACACACACACACACAGTCACACACACACACACACACACACACACACCACACACACACAGTCTCATACACACACACACACACAGTCACACACACACACACACACACACAGACAAACACATGATGCATGTAATAAAGCAAATATAAAGTGGGACGCTGCGTAACAATCAGACTTCTACTCTTCATTGTGTCAGCCGGGCGTTGGTGCGGTGAAGAAATGATTCACAGTGAGTTATAAAAGCCTCTTTGTGTTTCTGGTTATGACCCAGAGAGCCGGCAGGGAGTAACGTCCGGCAGGTGAAGGTGTGTTAGAGACCATCAGACAGGAAGTGAGTGATGCAGGGAGCGGCTTGATAAACACCTTAAAGCTCCCCTATTATACTGTTTCTCATCAATATATCACAGGTCTCAGATATATACAGAGCCTGTCTCTGATTGGCTGAAACACCAAACAGATCATTGCAGCATTACCCATAATCCCCTCTGTTTCAGCCCTGTTTCCAAAGTGCTGATTCTCTGTCTGTTACTTTAGATGAAAATAAGGAGCCCCTCCCCACGCCCCTCTGAGAGACATTTGGTTACAAAGAACTCAATGGTGCTCTAGGAGGAGATTCAGGTGATAAGGGGGGGGGGGGGGGGGGGTTACCTTGGTTGCTGATTGGCTAATGGTTACACAAGACAAAACATCGTTATGACATCACAAAGTGGCCAAAATCTGATCAGCTCATTTTCAGACAGGTTTTTATAGAAATGGATCAAAAAGAGAGAGAATCTTTGTTCCTGAAACTTTCAGAGTCTCTTTCCACAGAGGGGACACATGTTGATGAAGAAGAGACATGAAGAAGAGGGGACACATGTTGATGAAGAAGAGACATGAAGAAGAGGGGACACATGGTGATGAAGAAGAGACATGAAGAAGAGGGGACACATGTTGATGTAGAAGAGACATGAAGAAGAGGGGACACATGTTGATGTAGAAGAGACATGAAGAAGAGGGGACACATGTTGATGTAGAAGAGACATGAAGAAGAGGGGACACATGATGATGAAGAAGAGACATGAAGAAGAGGGGACACATGTTGATGAAGAAGAGACATGAAGAAGAGGGGACACATGATGATGAAGAAGAGACATGAAGAAGAGGGGACACATGTTGATGTAGAAGAGACATGAAGAAGAGGGGACACATGTTGATGTAGAAGAGACATGGAGAAGAGGGGGACACATGTTGATGTAGAAGAGACATGAAGAAGAGGGGACACATGTTGATGTAGAAGAGACATGAAGAAGAGGGGACACATGTTGATGTAGAAGAGACATGGAGAAGAGGGGACACATGTTGATGTAGAAGAGACATGAAGAAGAGGGGACACATGTTGATGTAGAAGAGACATGGAGAAGAGGGGACACATGTTGATGTAGAAGAGACATGAAGAAGAGGGGACACATGTTGATGTAGAAGAGACATGAAGAAGAGGGTACACATGTTGATGTAGAAGAGACATGAAGAAGAGGGGACACATGTTGATGTAGAAGAGACATGAAGAAGAGGGTACACATGTTGATGTAGAAGAGACATGAAGAAGAGGGGACACATGTTGATGAAGAAGAGACATGAAGAAGAGGGGACACATGTTGATGTAGAAGAGACATGAAGAAGAGGGGACACATGTTGATGTAGAAGAGACATGAAGAAGAGGATTTAGCATACTAGGTGCCCTTTAATATCAAAGCACTAACGGATCACAGTCTGCTGTTTGTACAGGGACACATTATTGTTCTTTTTTTCAACGCAGGATTGCACAAAGAAATTAAGTCTTTTATGGTACACGGGTAAAAAAGTGACAAAGTGCATTTTTTTAAAATTTGGCAACAGGATGTGCACATAATGACTCAGAATAACCTCACATGTGTTGCAACGAGGGAGCAACACTGATTATAATAATTAAAATAATATGTCTGCTTAATGATGCTCATAAAAAACACGGTTTTATTTTGAAGGGATGTCTCCAAGTCTCCAAATAACACATGATAAATCTGATAATCAATATCAATAATTCTTATATGATAAAATACACTATAATCATCTAGTGGGCTGTTGTTGAGAAGGGTTAAGGTGCGTTCACAGCGGACATGATTCAAAGGTTTATTATATAACCTCGGATGATTCGCAGCGAAGATTCCTCGTGTCACTCTCACTAGACTCCTAGTGTCACTCTCACTAGACTCCTAGTGTCACTCTCACTAGACTCCTAGTGTCACTCTCACTAGACTCCTAGTGTCACTCTCACTAGACTCCATGTGTCACTCTCACTAGACTCCTAGTGTCACTCTCACTAGACTCCTAGTGTCACTCTCACTAGACTCCTAGTGTCACTCTCACTAGACTCCATGTGTCACTCTCACTAGACTCCTAGTGTCACTCTCACTAGACTCCATGTGTCACTCTCACTAGACTCCTAGTGTCACTCTCACTAGACTCCTAGTGTCACTCTCACTAGACTCCATGTAGATACCAACAGAATATACACATTTTGCTGGTTTTAATTGTTATCCATGTATCAAAATGAACCCGAGATAACTACATACTGATACCGGTTATTACATTTTTTTAAATTAATGCTTTGGCCAGTGTGTCTGCAAGATAGCCGGCGAAAAAAGACTTGAATATGCGGCCACCCCTTGTCTTTGCAAAAGCACTATACAAATCCCATTTATTATTATTATTATGCGCACCATTATAATTTTGTACTATTATTCATTCATATATTATTTCAGTAGTTGTTGCAGCAGTGGGCGGCAGCGAATGAAGTATGAAGGGAAATGCATTTAGAGAAACATTTAAAAAAAAAAGCCGTCTGCAGTGTGACTCACAGCCTGTGTGTGTGTGGGTGTGTGGGGGTGTGTGGGTGTGGGTGTGTCAGTAAATGTCAGTGTGTCTGCAGGCTCTTTGTCCGTGCACTGAAGGACACACACACACACACACACACACACACACACACACACACACACACACACTGTCCAGAGGAGAGGCACAGAGTGTCCGTTCTTCAGACAGATGGTATTTGTTTTGGGTAGCAGAATATAACCCGGTCTCAGTTTCCTGACAGTTCTGAGGATTTATGAGGATATTCCTCTGAAGCTGAATTTATAATTAAGGGATATTTTAGGGTTTTTCACACTTCCTTGTTTGTCTCTTTACGGTATGTCCACACGGTAGCGTCGCGTTGCAGCTTGCCGGTGGGCGTGTCTGGCGTGCGACCAACAACCAATCACATTAATCTCCCGCCCCGGACACACAGCACGCGGTTTGATTGGCTAGAGCTTGACCTGGCATTTTGATTGGCAGACGCTTCCGTCGACGCTTGAAAAGTTGAACATTTTTCTCAACTTTTGAAGCGAGCAACGGACCCACAATGCAGTTCGGCAAAGCGTGATGTCACCCCATTCAAAGTGAATGGGAAGCGTCTCTGTTGAAGCACGCAACGCTGCCGTGTGGACGTACCGTTAGTTTTCCCAAGTCTCCTTCATGTATGTGTATATTTTTATTAACACATTATCAACAACAGTACTTTTTCATTTTCTCCCCAAGCATAAAACGTTTTCTCCATACCTTAACTTAGGGCTTATGGAGTGGACCCCCCCCCCCAAAAAAAGACCATGGAAATTGTCTCCTTTATTTCTCCCTCATTTTCTCAAACAAGTTGCATCTTGATTTCTTTTTTTGTGTGTTTTTAAATTACAGTTTGTCAAACAAAGCCTCAAAATCATGATCAGATTAGCCCAATGTAAACCCTGCTGCAGCTACACTGTGTAATTTACTGCGACAGTGTGTGTGTGTGTGTGTGTGTGTGTGTGTGTGTGTGCGTGTGAGAAATACCAGGCAGTGAGTCATCAGACTTGCCTCATCAGGTTTTCTATGGTTGGAGGCTACAGTATGTTCTGTGTTTAAAAAATGATATATGCTTTTAAAACTACTTGCATACTGATCATCAAACAGAGAATGTAGAGAAACGGGAGAATAAAGATAAATAAGGAATTATAAAAAAAAAGCACTATCAATTATAATAAATGATCTAAAATAAGGCCTCATTTGGTGTTCAAATTGAATTACATGGTCCTAAAAAATATAATGATTACTCAAAGAATAAATCCTTATAAAAAGTCTTAAGTATTTTCATATCGCACTATTTATTGCGGGGAAATCATCCTTTAAAAAAAACTGTGTGTGGACTTGCCTAGTCTCGTTTTTTTATGGTTGGAGGCTACAGTATGTTCTGTTTTTTTTGTTGTTAAATACAAGCTGTTCAAACTAGTTACATGCATGGAGCAATTTATCTGAATCCATTGTTGGCTGTCAGAAATCTGTGTGAACCTGCACACACACGCACACACACACATGTGAGGCGTTGGTTCGTGTGTCTAGTCGGCAAAGGCGACGCCCTGCTCCTCGTTTGATGGAGGGGTCTTAACTTTCCAGAATAAAGGAGGTCACGGAGCTTCTCTGTGGTCCAAACTGTAAAGAGAGAGAGAGAGAGAGAGAGTGTGAGTGTGTGTGTGTGTAAAGAGTGTGTCGCCATATTCTTCGCCTGCTTTGTGGTGCTTCCACATTTTCCACTTTTGTGTTGGTACTTCCGGTTAAAGCGTAAATATGCTGTTACCTTGCAAGAGAAACATTTTCAAGTTTTTGAATGGGCATTTAGTATTTTGGAAATGTAATAGATTGATATTTTTTACATTACCGTTATAACACCCGTATTACTCCATGTTACATTGTTACACTGTTATTTGGCCATTTTATACATGGACACAGTCAAATGCCTGTTTCCCCCACGGTTTCAAAACCGGTTCAAGTAAAAACACTTTAACAGGTAGGATTAATGGTGCCCTTATTTTGTTTTTTTAACCTTAGCATTTGGCTCAAACTGTAACAATATTTATGACAAAACACTAAGAATCCCTTTGACCTAAAAGACAACGCTTCAGAAAAGCATCTGCTCATGTCCCGTCAAGTTCGTACTCACACACACACACAGCCCTTATACACATACGGTGATTGATGGCTCTGATTTGGATGTTTAGTGTCACTGAAGTATTCCTGGCCCGCAGACAGAGAAAGTGCAGCAGCAAAACAAGGGCTGGGTCGAAGGGAGGAGGTGAGGATCCTCCCTTCTCACCTCCTCCCTCCTCCTCCTCACACGCCCCAGCAGCCCCTCCCTGCTCTCAACACACACTCCTATAAACCAGCTGCACACGGACGCTTCAGGAATCCAGCAGCAGAGATATCCCACACTCAGCCTCTGAGTGTTTGTTTACAGTGCGTTTAGGGCATTAAATATATTGTTTTGGAGTCAAAATAAACACGTCATGCTGCAACAGGTTTAATGATTGTTGTTGAAGTATAAGAAAAACTTAATTCACTTTCATTACATGCTTATTGGATACATGCACAGGCGATTTTTCTTCATCAATTAATCAATTAACTTAAGATGGCCCTGCTAGTCTGTGTCCAGAACATGAAAATGTGATTTATTTGCAAAAGAAAATGCAGCTGTATCAGAGTTCCTGCAGATTAATAACAAGTATTAAATATTTGTATTGAAATCAAATGGTATTACATATTTTTTAAATGCCAATTAATCTAAAAAAATAAATCCCTTATTTAAAAAAAAAAATGCAAAATAAGACATTGGGCTTAAAACAGCTTTAAAAAAAAAATCCTGACATATTGCAGATATTGTGCCCCTCCCTAATGTTCCTCCCCCTCCCCACATATTCCTGTTTCTACTATCAAGTGTTTTCTCAGGTAATCCTCACTCTGCATGTAAAGACATGCCATTAAACATGTCTGTAACGTATACAATGTGCTTTAAGATTTGAGAATAAGAGGACCATGAAAAACAGATGACAGTTCCTGTAAAAACAAATCCAAATATCGTGCAGTATCGTTCATACCCTACTTTTTAAAATACTGATTTTTATTGTATTTGTACTCCTCCTCACGTTTGCATGTGTGTCTCTCCTTCAGCTCTTTTCTCGGAGAAAGTGAGGAACATGTCCCCCGACGCCATCAGAATCCCCCCCGAGCCGCCGGGACGCTGCTCCAGCCAACTACAGGTACACACACACACACACACACACACACACACACACACACACACACACACACACCTCCACCTCCACCTGCTGCCTAACACACACTTCATCCTTTAAAGGTCTCCTATCATGCAAAATGCACTTTCTGATGTCTTCTCTACATCACCATCAGGGTTCTTACGGTCATTGAAAACCTGGAAAAGTCATGGAAATTCAAAAAATGCTAATTCCAGGCCCTGGAAAAGTTATGGAAAACAATATTTTTCCCAAAGTTTTGGAAAAGTCATGGAAATGTAACTGAAGTTGCATCAAATATAATTTATATTTTATCTAATCGCCGAAATAGTAATACTATAATGATAATAAATACTGTATCGTATAGTAATGAAACTTAAAATGGCATTTAACTGACGAGGTGTTTTGCTGTTGAGAGATTTGAGTGGCTTTAGCGTGTAGAAGCTAGTAAGCCTATTGGATTTGTTTTAGATTAGGCACAACATGTTTCAGATGCAGACCTTATTTTCCTGTTCCATGTTCAAATAAACCATTTTCAGTGGTACCGCTGAGAAAGAGTCATTTCTTTGGTCATGGAAAATTAGGTAAAGGTCCTGGAGAAGTCATTGGTGAAAAAGTGTATGAACCCTGCACCATGTGTCCCCGGTGTATCCCCGGTGTGTCAGGAGACTCACAAAGTGATGTCTTCTCTACATCACCGTGTGTCCCCGGTGTGTCCCCGGTGTGTCCCCGGTGTGTCAGGAGACTCACAAAGTGATGTCTTCTCTACATCACCGTGTGTCCCGGTGTGTCCCCGGTGTGTCAGGAGACTCACAAAGTGTCAGGAAATAAACCCCTCTCTCTTTTCCTCCGTACCCACGTCTCTAAAAACGGGGGAACAACGGAGCTGATCCAGATTTGCTGCGTCACGACGACATTACTAAAATGTGGGCGGGCTTTACACCCACGGGCCAATCAGAAACGTTGCTGTCAGAAACAATGAGATATGTTCTGGAAGTAATATGGTCTGTGTTTACATTAGCATGCTAACACTCAGAGCTAACCTGTACTGGAGAGAGTATGTGTGAAGAAGCAGGAAATCAAAAGGAACTCACCTCGTGGTAAACCTGAGAGAGAAAAAGAGTTTGAGCTCCGTACTGTTTCAGAGAGAATCCTTGATGTGGTTTGGAACATGATATGGAGTTTAGTCACGGCAGCGTTTAGCTGAGTTTCTGCTGGGAGAATTCTTTTAAAGCTACTGACCCAGAATCAGCACTTTAGTAACAGCTGGAAGAGAGGGGGATGAGGCTGATCTGTTTGGTATTTAGAGCAAAACACTTCATAGACGTGTCTTTTATATCTGAGAGCTATAATAGGGGACCTTTAACTTACACACACTTCCACCTTTAACTTACACACACTTCCACCTTTAACTTACACACACTTCCACCTTTAACTTACACACACTTCCACCTTTAACTTACACACACTTCCACCTTTAACTTACACACACTTCCACCTTTAACTTACACACACTTCCACCTTTTGGAGGAGTTTTTCAAAATAAAAGCCCCCTCATCCATAGACTAGTCATCTCAGTGTCTAATTAACCCGCTTCTCCTTACCAAGTGAATCATTTTCCCTCGTTCCCTCTGGGGTAGGAATTAAGTTCTGGTGGCAACATAAATCCTGAGACGCGCCCCTGTAATTAAACCAGAACTCACGTCAGAGTCATCTTCTTTTTAATTTCACTTCTCTCTCTCTTTGCTTTGCATAAGCTGCAATAAGGTTTGCTCTGTGAGGATCAGAGGCAGGTCCGGACACACGGCTGGGTCTGATTCAGAGTGTTAGTAATCTCAATAAAAGTCTGCAGAGCCGCACCTTTTAGAGATGATCACCTTCTGATTCACCTCCAGCAGGAACTCTCTGGATATCCCTGCCCCGAAGGCACATGCTTAGAAAACGCTGCAGACACATCTGCTCATTATTTGCTGAAATGCATCAAACCTGTGATCATCTAACAGGGTGTCCTTAAGCAACCGTGCCACGATGTTGCTATGGTGATATTGTGCTATGTGTGTTTACTCAAAAATAAAACCGGCCTTTACAATAGTCAAACAAATCAAACAAACGAGGCAGAACTCAAATCAAATAATAAACAACTTAGTCCGAGGCTTGTGTAACTTTAACGGTTACAAACGGTGCCTCGACGGCGTCTTCACACAGGTTGCCCATCTGTCTTTTTATAGGCTGGTGGGAATTGTAGTCCTTCATACGGTCTTGACTACAGATCACAATTAGATGGCACTGGTTCTAACGTAAACGCAGATTAGCTAGACGTCTTAATGCATTGTGCACAGCAACAAACTGCAATTGTAAACAAAACCTTGTCTATTTGTTCTTCATAAAGCAATTCAAAGTGCTTTAAAAAAAAAACATTTATTAACAGCAATAAGACAAAATGCAACAAACACACAATTAAAATGATTTGAAAAACTAATAAAATAGAAAAAGACAGTTTTAAAATAGATTTCTTCTCACACCACTTTTTATTATATATTACATTATATTTTACAGTAAGTTGGCAGATATTTCCCATGTCAGCAGCGTTCCCTCCTTCCTGTCCCCACGTGAGCTCATTCATCACGTCTGTGTTGAACCTGGTCGTCAAATATTTCCCCAATGCATCAGAAACCGCTTTTCTACAATAGCTCCATTCACGGCCGCCACGTGCAGGTTCTGTTTATCTGCAGACATCGACACTGTGTCCTGCCAAATGTGCTAGGGTGGAGGAAGATAATTTGATGACCTGTTTGTTTTGAAACAGGACAAGATCCACAAGCTGTACGAGAGGAAGCTGCAGGGAGACTTCGACACAAACAACCACATCCAGAAGAAGAAGGAATTCAGAAACCCCAGGTATGCACTCGACTGAGGAGACGATAAAAAATGACCTAGTTAGGAGGTGACGGCCAGATGGTGTCCACATAATCTCTTACATAATGCTTCAATGTCAGGTGTTACGTTCCCTCCTAAACTACGGGTACAGAGGGAAGTAACAAAAGGGCCCACCAGACAATTTACACAACAATCTTAAGGTGACTAATGGCGCAGTTCCACTACAGCGCGGAGCTCGCTTTAAGCGTGCCGTGTCGTGCCGTGCCCGTTTTTGGTTGCGCTTCCACTAGGCCTAGTTCCGGCCCGGGGCCACTTTTTCCCCTCTTTTCTGGCCCGACAAAATTGTGGTTCTATCGGGGCCAACAAACAGGGCTGAGTCGGGCTGAGTATGCTAAACTAGAGAGAGAATCGCTGGCAAGGGGGCTACAACTACAACAAGATGGACATATTTGACCGTGATTTAATTGTAATACACGTTTCAAAATGATGCCGAAGTAACAACATACTGATACCAGTTAGTAAAAACCATGAATTAATGCTTTGTCAAGTCTGCAGACAGACGGCAGGCGAAAAACCTTTTAAAATGCGTGTTTTCTAAATGGAGATTGGCTAAGCTAACGCAGTATATGCTCCGACCGTCCACACTCACAACAACGGCCTATACAGACATAAATAAAGCAGCGACTGTATTCACCATGACACAGACAGTCTGTGGTTTGTACTTGTTTAACTTTTGTCTAGTTTCTGAACATATATGAGGAGCTGTGAGCTCTGAGTGCTAACAGCTAACGGCTGTGTTGTGTTTCTGGATTTCTCATTGAAGATGACGTCACGGCTCCGCCTACACTGCGTTACTATAGTAACTACCCCAGTTCCTAAACTGTAATGGAAGCGCAGCATGAAGTGAGTCGGCCCTGTTAAGGCCCAACGCGGCCAAGCCGTACCGAGCCGTACCGAGTGTGGCCGAGGCCGACCGTGTAGTGGAAATGCGCCATAAATGACTCTAACTCAGGTCATGTCTGAAATGTTTCTTGCGTCACAGCTCAGGACACATGTTACAAGGAAACAGACATTGAACACATCACAATCACTGTAGAAAATAACATGTTTAAAGACACTATAACGTACATTTGACCTGGGATTTAACCAGGAGGTTTTGTATCAAATTGTGAAGAAAATACAGAATATTTCGATATTTTTGGCTTTTTTTATTTATTCAAAGGTCAGGTCATTTAGCATGAAAACGAAATCTTAATTCATTGCAGAGTTTCGCTGCCATTTGGGTAAAGAGACCAAAGAAAACACATCAAAATGGATGCAATAAATGGAGTTATTAACTGTATTGAGGATGACTTTGCTGCTTGCATATTGAGTGAAGAGGCCAACACACATTCACAGTTGTAATAGTGATGAACTCAATTGGATGTGAATGAATGCGACTATTTTTCGACTTTCTTTCACTTTTTTCGTTCACTTTTTAGGACATAAAGCTTCTGAGTCAACATTCGTACAAATAAAGCGCTATACCTCTAACGGCCCGTCCACACAGCAGCGTTAAAAAAAATCTTGGAACGCTTCTGCCCATTCACTTTGAATGGGGGTGACGTCACTTTGCCTCACTTTTCGCCGAACTGCATTGTGGGAAGCAGAGCGGAGATTTCCAGGATTTTCAGGATTCAAAGTTGAGCAATGTTCAACTTTTGAAGCTGAGGTGGAAGCGTCAGCCAATCAAATCCCGTTTATGCAAATCTGACCGTTCAAGCGCTAGCCAATCAAACGGCGTGTATGCTGGAAACATGGAGGAGAAATTAGCGGTAGGGAATCACCCGGTGTTTTATGACCAGACCCTATTTACCTACCGGGATACAAACCGGAGGAGCCAGGCATGGAGGGAGGTGGCAGAGACAGTGGTAGGTTTTCGCCTGTTTGGGGAGTTTATATCCACTTTACTTCGGGCTTTTTTGCTTCGTATGTCGGGGGCGGGAGATTCATGTGATTGGTTGTTGGTGCCTTGCTCGCAAAAAATCCCCAAGCTTCAGATACGCCCACCTCCAAGATTTTTTTTACGCTGCTGTGTGGACGCTCCGTTACACAGTCACAAGATGGAGGAATCATACATCCTGTCATGTACAAAACACTGAGTTTTCTCTCAAAATTCAGATTTTCTCTCAAAATTCAGACATTTTCTCAAAATCTAAAAATCCAGATTTTTTTCTTAAAATCATTATATTTTTTACTTTCTCTCAAAATTCGGACTTTCTCTCAAAATTCAGACTTTCCGCCCACCTCCAAGATTTGTTTAACGCTGCTGTGTGGACGCTCCGTAAGTCTCCTTCATGATGAAGACATATAGTGACGTTGCCGATGTTCAAAATAACAAACCACTTTTTCTTTCTTGTTTTTTTGTCCAGCATTTACGAGAAGCTCATTCAGTTCTGCAGTATAGACGAACTGGGAACAAATTACCCGAAAGACATGTTCGATCCCCACGGCTGGTCGGAGGACTCGTACTACGAAGGCTTAGGTAAGCTCAATCAAACCTTCATCTTCTTCACATTTCTGTGCAACTATACGTGACAAACACTCATGGCTTCTGTGTCTTATCCCTGCAGCCAAATCTCAGAAAGTGGAGATGGACAAACTGGAGAAAGCCAAGAAGGAGCGCACCAAGGTGAGTTTCAAAACAACAATAAGAGGATTTTAAACGTTTTTTTGTGTCTGCGTCAAGGGCAAGTCTCCACCAGCTGAGGTTAGGTTATTTACTTTTCGTCAGACTTACGCAGAAATCCACATTTGCCAAGTTCTGCTCTCGTAACTGCAGCTGCCCGTACGTGTTTTTCACACCTTGTCTAGATTTAAAAACACCTGAGTATGTCTTTATTTTTGCCAGATAGATCCTGCTGACTAATCGTTGAGAGGTGAAAGAAGCTCAGCATCGTACGGTAGAAACGAGACGTGAATGAACACGTTCCCTCAGGATCAGATTTATTATTCTCTGCTGTGAAGGTATGCAGGCGAGAGCAAACTGAAGGGATAGTACAGAGGCTTTAAAGAGTCCCTATCAGTATGTAGTATCTCTACTTTAAAGAGTCCCTATCAGTATGTAGTATCTCTACTTTAAAGAGTCCCTATCAGTATGTAGTATCTCTACTTTAAAGAGTCCTCTCCTGCTGATGTTCAGGTGTATATCAGTATGTAGTGTCTCTACTTTAAAGAGTCCTCTCCTGCTGATGTTCAGGTGTATATCAGTATGTAGTGTCTCTACTTTAAAGAGTCCTCTCCTGCTGATGTTCAGGTGTATATCAGTATGTAGTGTCTCTACTTTAAAGAGTCCTCCCTGCTGATGTTCAGGTGTATATCAGTATGTAGTGTCTAGTATTAAAGAGTCCTCTCCTGCTGATGTTCAGGTGTATATCAGTATGTAGTGTCTCTACTTTAAAGAGTCCTCTCCTGCTGATGTTCAGGTGTATATCAGTATGTAGTGTCTCTACTTTAAAGAGTCCTCTCCTGCTGATGTTCAGGTGTATATCAGTATGTAGTGTCTCTACTTTAAAGAGTCCTCTCCTGCTGATGTTCAGGTGTATATCAGTATGTAGTGTCTCTACTTTAAAGAGTCCTCTCCTGCTGATGTTCAGGTGTATATCAGTATGTAGTGTCTCTACTTTAAAGAGTCCTCTCCTGCTGATGTTCAGGGTGTATATCAGTATGTAGTGTCTCTACTTTAAAGAGTCCTCTCCTGCTGATGTTCAGGTGTATATCAGTATGTAGTGTCTCTACTTTAAAGAGTCCTCTCCTGCTGATGTTCAGGTGTATATCAGTATGTAGTGTCTCTACTTTAAAGAGTCCTCTCCTGCTGATGTTCAGGTGTATATCAGTATGTAGTGTCTCTACTTTAAAGAGTCCTCTCCTGCTGATGTTCAGGTGTATATCAGTATGTAGTGTCTCTACTTTAAAGAGTCCTCTCCTGCTGATGTTCAGGTGTATATCAGTATGTAGTGTCTCTACTTTAAAGAGTCCTCTCCTGCTGATGTTCAGGTGTATATCAGTATGTAGTGTCTCTACTTTAAAGAGTCCTCTCCTGCTGATGTTCAGGTGTATATCAGTATGTAGTGTCTCTACTTGGACATGTTTCCATGTTTTAATGTTCAAAAAGCTTTTTATTTTTCTCATACTGCCTTTTCACCCTCTGTCTGAAACCAGAGCCCAGTCTGTTCTGATTGGTTAGCTGGCCGGCTCTGTTTTGATTGGTCCACCTCATAGAGATGTCCCGCCCCTTTGCCTATCACTACAATGTGTTGAAGCGCTAGCCAATAGGAGCACTAGTGTTGCATAGCGAAGTCTTTATGATACATAATAATAACAGAGACCTATTTATGTGCCCTTGATGCGGTTGTTGTTTCAAAATGGTTTCACATAAAACAAAACTTTTATAGTATTCAGTGTGTTTCACAGATTGAGTTTGTCACGGGGACGAAGAAGGGCAACAACCCCTCGAACACAGCGGCCTCCACCAACAGCAGCAACACCTCCACCACGTCTACAGGTAAACATCCAACACAACAAGGCAGAGGAATCACCTGACGTTTATTTGCATCTCAGAAGAAGAGCGTTTTGTTGACTCACATATTTTGTTGTTTTTGTCCCGGTAAAAACGTCCTGGACATCTGGATCTTACGTTATCAGAGACAAGCGTGTTACTTTAGCATTTAGCTCGTAGCCCCTTTCTCCTATTTTACAGAAACACAAACGTAGTGAATTTTTATTGCTGCTTTATATGAGTGGTTCTGTTTTGTTTTTGAGAGAATAAGATCTTTGTGGATAATTCGGCATCTGAAAAAAAAACTCCTGAATAACTGGTTCTTATTATTAGAGGAACAATTGTTACGTTAGCTTTTAGCTCGTAGCCCTTACGCCCAGTATCCCATGCAAATTACACATTTTTATCTTGAAAACTGCTTTTTTTTCAGTGTTTAAACCAGTTTTACTTACAATATCTGTTAGTTTTGGAGAGAGGGGCACCTCTGTGGATGATCCAGTTAAAAGATCCTGAAAAATAGTTTATTTAAGATGAGAACAGATAAGATGGACCTTTATTAATCTCCGTGGGGAAATTCAGTAGTTTAAATAGCAACAGGGTGAGAATGAAAAACAGGACAGCACAGATCACACCAAACTAAAGATGAATAAAATCAAAGATAAAATACAATTATATACAGTTAAAGGTAGGGTAGGTAAGTTTGAGAAACCGGCTCGAGATACACTTGTTGTTATATTCCATGGAATGCTCTTAACATCCCGATAGCAATGAATATCTGAAGTGCTTTGACAAAAAATACATTAAAGAAATATCATGTGTGGAAGCTGTGGTACTGTAAAAAGCACGACCAATCATCTGAGCCGGCCCGGCTAAAATAACTGGATGGCCTACCTGCCTGTCAGCCTTCCATCTGTGCACAAACTTATCTCGTGCCCTCATTGGTCATGTGTGTGTTGGAGGAGGGGCTCTGTAAGGAAGTGGCACATTTTTTCCGGCTGTGTATTTTCAAAATCTAGCGCACTCGAGCCGGTTTCTCCAAAATTACCTACCCCACCTTTAAGTTAAAATAAGAAATGAATTAATTGAACATACATATTTGGTTCATATATACATATTTACATGTATGTGTGCCGGTTAAATGTTATTGTGAAAACAATAGCTAATGCTAACCAGGAGAAGCTAACTGCAATGATACGCTACGCCATTATTGTGTTGTGCTGTTATTGTTTTGATGGTCAACTAACAGCAGAAAAATACATATTTGAAGCCCTTAATCATCCCTTCCTGTTCCTTCCTGATCTCACGTGAATCCCTCCTGTGTGTTGTTTGTCCTCAGAGGCCCAGAAGAGGAAGAGTAAATGGGACTCAGCGATCCCCGTGACTCTTTCCCAGCCCGCCGCCATCACCACCAGCTCCTCGTTACCGGCCGTCGTCTCCGTCACCACCACCGCCAGCGGCACCAAGACCACCGTCATCTCCGCCGTGGGAACCATCCTGAAGAAGGCCAAGCAATGATCTCCACTACAAGAAGAACAGGAAGCTGCAACACCTGAGTTTAGGGCTGGGAGATGTGAGGAACACTCAGATATCGGGACGTTTTCGGACTTCTTCGATCGATATTTGAGTCACAAAGTGATTACACGATGGAAATGTAGATAAAAGCTCATCAGTAATGTGGACTCTCAAACCATGAAAAAACACCTCTTACGATATCTTAAATCCATCTATGTTATCCATTCTTGTATCCAGATGTCGAGATAACATCGGTGCGTTTCCCAGCCCTTCCCTGTACTCATTATAAATGTGAGAAAGATCAGAAAGCGGACGAATGACAATATGGACTCTCAATGTACGTTTTTTACCAACCAACCAACCAACTTCTAAATACCCTCACATCTAAAGACTATCTCCTGGATTGTATATCTTCATTTTTATGTCATTAGTTTTGTTCCAGTATTTTCTTGCTTACTATAGTGGTTTTATGTCATTGTAGTCGAACACGTGCATCATTTATTCATTTGCATGTTGACTGACCTGTTAGGTAACACTTTTTTTAGCTTGTACATATTTGATGCTAAGGTGAATAAATGGATCAGTTGTTGCCTTTTCTGTTGGATTATTGCTGTCGCTTTTTGTCTTTTCCACGAATATTTATGAGCTTTTTTACTAAGATAAGAAAAGATGGACCTTCATTTAACCCTGTAGGGAAATTCAGGAGTTTAAAGCACATCAACAGAGTGAGAGTGAAAATTAAAAAATATAAAGTAACTGTTAAAACAAGATATCACAACAAGTAAACGTTGATAATTAGTACTAATGATTACTTGTGTTCACAGAAACAGGTTTGCGTCCAGTTTCAAAATAGCTTCTGTTGTCTTAACGTTTACCATAGAAGTTAAGGGTTGTCACACAATTACATTTTAATATCCCTTTAAATTACCTCAGTTAGCGTTAGCTGTTAGCCGTTAGCTCTGTTGTCTAGCCAAGTACTAAATGCAGGTTATCATTTTAATAATAATTATTGGTATATCTTTTAGTGCTTTTCCAAGTGCTCAAAGTGCTTTACATTAAATATATCACATGTAATACATCGATGCGGTGGACAAAACCCACAGGAGCGATTTAGGGTGAAGGGTCTTGCCCGAGGAGACACTCAATTTAACCCTCCGTTAGCATTAGCTGTTATTTAGCCGTTAGCAGGAATGTGCTGCCTAGTGTCGGCTAACAGCTAACTAGCTCTTATCCTGCTTATTTTAACACTCAATATCCTCACGAGACAATTTAATACCAATAATAGATGTGATACAAAGTCTTTCATTAAAAAAACGGCCTTAATAAAATCTGTTTTGTTTACCTAATGTGTTATCCAATGGGTTTCAAGGATATTTTTACTGATATTGGTAAAGACTAGACTACTAAAGGTCTGTTATGGTGACATTTTCCCTAATGGAAATTAAAAGACACACCTCCCTTTTTATTGGCACACACACTTCTCTTTTCTCAGGGTTTGCATGTGTGGTCCAGGTGGAGGTTTGAACATCTGACCCCACAGCGATGCGTTCAGGGGTCATGGTGCTTCTGAAGCTCCACCCGGGGTTAAAGTGGACAGTGTGAGTAATTAAAATATTTGAAAGACTTGTTTACTTTCACAAGCTGCACATGTTGTTTATACCCTTTCACACTGAGATGGGGAATGAGGGTGCAGCCTGTTAACTAAACAACAACTTTAACTATATTTTGATGATCATACTTTTGTTTTTACTTGAGGAACATTTTGAATTAAGGACTTTTACAGTAACAGAGTATTCCTACACTCTGGTACTTCTACTTTTACTCAAGTACAAGATCTGAGTAGCCTACTTCTACTTTTACTCAAGTACAAGATCTGAGTACTTTTACTCAAGTACAAGATCTGAGTACTTTTACTCAAGTACAAGATCTGAGTACTTCTACTTTTACTCAAGTACAAGATCTGAGTACTTCTACTTTTACTCAAGTACAAGATCTGAGTAGGCTACTTCTACTTTTACTCAAGAACAAGATCTGAGTACTTCTACTTTTACTCAAGTACAAGATCTGAGTACTTCTACTTTTACTCAAGTACAAGATCTGAGTACTTTTACTCAAGTACAAGATCTGAGTACTTCTACTTTTACTCAAGTACAAGATCTGAGTACTTCTACTTTTACTCAAGTACAAGATCTGAGTACTTATACTTTTACTCAAGTACAAGATCTGAGTACTTCTACCTCCTCTGCTAACATACTTATCTTAGAAAGTCACATTTTGACAAACAATAAGTAAGATTGATCCTCTGTTCCCTCCTCACCCCTCTCTGCCCTCCTCACCCCTCTGCCCTCCTCACCCCTCTGCCCTCCTCACCCTCTCTGCCCTCCTCACCCCTCTCTGCCCTCCTCACCCCTCTGCCCTCCTCACCCTCTCTGCCCTCCTCACCCCTCTGCCCTCCTCACCCCTCTGCCCTCCTCACCCCTCTGCCCTCCTCACCCCTCTGCCCTCCTCACCCCTCTCTGCCCTCCTCACCCCGCTCTGTCCTCCTCGCTGCACACTGAGGCAGATTTATTGGTGGGAAAAGAGAGGCCATTACAGGCCGTGAATGAACCCACTGATCCAAAAAGTGCAGTTGTTGTAAATGGTGCGAGGAGCTGAGAGAGGAGACTTTTCCTCTGCATGCAAACACAAGAGCTTTTCATTCTCATTTCTCTGATTGTTTTTGTTTCCTTGCAGCCGCTCTCCTCCTGATGAGTCCAGTTCACAGGAAGTAGGTTTGGATTATTATGCAGATTCTGAGGTAACTGGGTCCTTACTGTACTGCATGTCTGTGAGAGAAGATCCAATATTAGGATGTATTCATATTTAACTTCAGTTTTCCAAAGTGTAGGAAACAACAGATCAATTGAGTACACTTTTTTTTTTTTTACTTAATCTTTTAAATTAGGTTATTTGGTGCAATTCAGGGATTTATTCGTATTTATTTTCACTTTCTACATTGAAATAAAGTTGCTCCCAAGTGTAGGAAACAACCTTTAATTGAGTTTTATTTAACTAAATCTTCTAAATTGGGCACTGATTTCAAAAGTTAAACACATACTCAGAAAGTTTGCTATTTGCTCGAAAATGCAAATTAAAATCAATATCTTCACATAAGTCGCAGTTGATTTGCATATAAGTGTCGACGTTTAATCAATATTGTCTCAATGTGCCAACTTCCCCTTCACATATATTACAGTAAAGGAGGGGTGTGTGAGTGCATCCGTATTGATTCAGTCAGTCATGATTATTTAAGTAGTTTTTATTCAACATTGGAAATCGATTTAAATGTCAATATTTCTGCCTGACTGAGTATTTCACTTTCATATTTTCTAGTGACCTTTCTCGTACTCCTATTACATTCATAATATTGTTCATAATATTTCTTATTTCTCTTCCTGTGTTTACATATGCACCAAAGCAAATTCCCTGTGAGTCAAACCTACTTGGCGAACAAACTGCTGCCTTCGGATGAATTTGAAGGATTTTCAAGTATTTTATTTATTTGTATTTATTTAAGGGTTTTGCACAACAAACCCAACCGCTAACAAATGATAAACAGTGCAGTAAGAGGCAATTAAATAACCTTATAACCTAAATAAGGTTAAAAATCTCAATTCTTGATCAATAAAACAAGAAATTGCCTAAATAAAAAATGCAAACTTTAAGAAAAACATATACTTAAAATCTTAAGAAAACAACACTTTACAAAAGCCCTAACAAATATAAAATGCCACTGTCTGGAAGTCTTTACCCAACCTATGTGTAGTGGCCGATTATGCATAATACAATGTTCAAAGGCCACTTAGCCCACGAGGAGAATTTGAGTATTGACTCGCGAACATTTAAGAAATCCAGATGCATCGTTCCATTCAAGTGCTTTATTCGGAAGTTCAATGGATCAGCTGGCGGACCACTACCGACTTGCAACATTTGCACGTTATTGAAATGAAGCTCAGCGCAAGTTCTTTCAGGAAGACTGGTATACATTCAGTCCGCAGCTGCTTATAATCAGCTCATCACAGGCTTCCTGCTAACCCATTACATTCACCTCAATCTCAGCAGCCAATCAGCGTGCTGCATGCCACACTTTAAAATGGTTCTCCTCTCTCCTGCAGTCAGCTGTGATTTCAGGTGTTCATGCTGCCGACATACCCGTTTATATCAAGCAAGAGCGAGAGGAGAAGACCTCCATCGGCAGAAACACGGGTACGTCCTGCCGTCCCGGCATAAGCGAACAAGCCGATCCGGTATCAGAACGGAGTCGAGGCCCCTCGATCAGCTGATCCGCGAATACGGAAGTCGCATTACGCACAAGCCGACCGTCAGCAGGCCCTCTACGCCGCGTTCAATCTACGCCACATTCAATCTGCGCCGCGTTCAATCTGCGCCGCATTCAATCTACGCCGCGTTCAATCTACGCCGCATTCAATCTACGCCGCATTCAATCTGCGGCGCATTCAATCTACGCCACATTCAATCTGCGCCGCGTTCAATCTGCGCCGCATTCAATCTACGCCGCATTCAATCTACGCCACATTCAATCTGCGCCGCGTTCAATCTGCGCCGCATTCAATCTACGCCGCGTTCAATCTGCGCCGCATTCAATCTACGCCGCATTCAATCTACGCCGCATTCAATCTACGCCGCATTCAATCTGCGGTGCATTCAATCCCTCCCAGGAAATTCAACCAGCAGATAAGTGACGTTTATCCGTGTTCACAGCACGTTTAGGCATGATCGCCTCTGTGTCTCATCAGATTCGTATCTCGGCACCCCTTCATGGGTTGGGGGGGAAGTCCGGATAAAATAATTATGTATTTAAAAAATGAATAAATATAAAAGAAAGAAAGAATGCACAGGTTCTCCTTCATACTTTCATGCATATAGCTGGAGGTGGTGCAAAGCGTGCTTGCTTCATGATCATACGATCCCCTCTATCTGGTACTTCAACAGACCTCAGCTAAAGTCTCAGTGCACACTTTTCCATCAAGCGTAAGGAATGGATGCAATACAAACAACTCATGCTCAATGTAGTCTTGCAGAATATGTCTCTCACAGCAATGAGTCACTCACTCAGCTCACGTTTTAATCATCTGCAGAATACCTTCATCGCATTATATTATTCATTAATCAGCACTTCTCCAGAACGGTTTCATCTAATTCTATCCCTGTCCTGTTCATTCTCTGTTTTAGAATGATTGCTTATTCTGCCCTTATGCGTGTAACCACACGAACTGATATCCGCACCGTACTGGCTAATCAAAAACTTAAACTCCTACGGTAAGCCATGCATATAACTGGTGGTGGTGTATCACATCCTTCTTAGATAATGTTTAACCACATGCTATGCCTCTCTCACTTATCCCAGCAGACTGCCTGAGCCATCAGAAGTCTCGCTCCATGCAATAGTCAGTATCACAGGCAGCGCAGCTCACCCTATTCTATTTTCCTTCTCTCTCCGCTCACATTCCTGTCTAACCCTCGCTTGCTTCCCAGTTTAGACCCGTCGCATCACGTAAGCTAAGTACATGCCCACATTCAGCGCAGCACTACTATCATATCA